ATGTATATTGAATATGCCAGATAGATTGAAAGATCAAGAAGAATACTACTATTGTTACTACTACTACTGAGGACAACAATTTTAACTGATCCACTTTTTTTTTTTTACACAGCTGATGTCTCTCCCAGCCGATTCCTAAAAGCCATCCAGGAAATTGTCACTGGAAATAATCTAGTGGAATCATCTAAAGGCAACAGCGACTACTACTTCTACTGTGAACAGTTCAGCAAAAGTAAGATGGGATTTATGGTTGCTGATGCTTAGAAGGAGGGGTACGTTCAGTGGCAGGGAGGGTGGTATTAGGAAATAGAGGAACTCCGCTTTGAATGGAAACAGGTAACAAACCTGGTCAGTGGCCAAGATTCTAACAGAGGCAGTCATTCTAGCCCGATCCAGTTAAAAAATCTTCATCCAAAGATACACACCTAAGTCCAGGTTATGAACCTGGGATAGAGAGAGCAATCAGTGGATTAAAGGGAAACGAAATATAAAATGTGATAATTGTGGCATGTTTCCAGATGATTTATGGTTGAACATGGTTAGTTACTGAGCTAGTCCTTTCTGGCTCTAGGGGGCATTGCTTAGCTCCGTTACAAAGCCGAAGAGCCAGCACTGTCCGAAGACATCTCCGTGGTCATGTGGCCAGCATGACTAAACGCCGAAGGTGCATGGAACGCTGTTACCGTCCCACCAAAGTGGTCCCTATTTTTCTACTTGCATTTTTACATGCTTTCGAACTGCTAGGTTGGCAGAAGCTGGGACAAGTAACGGGAGCTAATTCCACTACGCAGCGCTAGGCATTTAAACCGCTGAACTGCCGACCTTTCTGATCGACAAGCTCAGCATCTTAGCCACGTCCCTAATTAGTAGGTATAGTTTTGCCCAATTCATTCACCAGAAATCATTGATCCCACTTGGAACAGCTGATGAATTCACTACAGTCTCTGGAGCAATGGCAGGGAACTGGTGAAATTTCAGATATTGGTGAACTAAAGTTCTCAACATGCCTCACTATGGGCCATGTTTGAATTCTGTTTAAAGGGCTACAGTTCGTGCCTTTGACCTAGTTCAAAACTGAAAATGCTCGGCTTTAATTTAGCCACAGTGGATAAAGTTGTCATATTTGTCCAGCACTCCCATTCCTGCTGTCAGCACATTTGTGGTTTAATGCTTGTCAGTTATACAAAGGATGGGGTGATTTTCTTATTGTGTGCATATGTTATTGACTTCCAAGTTCTGTTAAAAGAAAGAGCTTTGGAAAAATAATAAAAGTCAATATTTGCAGAGGGAAATTTTTACTTTACATGTAGCAGAGATTTTGGATTTCATGAACAAGAATACTTTTTTTTTATCTTGCTTTTTTTCATAAACAACTCGAGCCAGGAAACATACCTAATAGTCCTTACTCGACCTCTTTTCCCCACAACAACAACAACCCTGTGAGGTGAGTTGGGCTGAGAGACAAGGCCCGGCCCAAAGTTATCAAGTGATCAAATGAGGTACTAATACCACTCTATAAAGCCTTAGTAACACCACACCTAGAGTACTGCATCCAGTTTTGGTCACCACATTATAAAAAAGATGTTGAGACTCTAGAAAAAGTACAGAGAAGAGCAACCAGGATGATTAGGGGACTGGAGGCTAAATCATACAATGAACAGTTGCAGGAACTGGGCTTGGCTAGTCTAGTAAAGAGAAGGACCAGGGGAGACATAATAGCAGTCTTCCAATATTTGAGGGGCTGCCACAGAGAGGAAGGGATCAAGCTGTTTTCCAAAGCACCCGAAGGCCAGACAAGGAATAATGGATGGAAACTGAACAAGGAGAGATTTAACCTGGAAATAAGGAGAAACTTTCTGACAGTGAGAACAATCAACCAATGGAACAGCTTTGCCTTCAGAAGTTGTGGGAACGCCACCACTTGAGACCTTCAAGAAGAGATTGGACTGCCATTTGTCAGAAATGGTGTAGGGTCTCACACTTGGCCGGGGGGTTGGACTAGATGACCTATAAGGTCCCTTCCAACTCTGATTATCTGTTATCTGTTATCTGTTATCCAGTCAGCTTTCATTCCTAAGGCAGAATTAGAACTCTCAGTTTCATGGTTTCGAGGCCAGAACGTTTACTGCTGCACTAAATTGGTCCTCTTTTTATGTATTTGGGTTTTTTTAAAGAACTTTCACAGCAGACTGCTGAAATTTTATTCTAATACGGTTATTTTATGATTTTATTGGAAGCTATCAAGAGTCACATTTCATAAGCTATGTAAATATATCAAAAAAACATTTAAAGACAGCATTATAATGATGCAATGCTAACATTGATGAAAACACATTAAGAAGTATAGGTATCAGTGATTAAAGTCAAAGGTATCTAAAAAGTAAATCCTATTATATACATTTTTCTTTACATACATCAACACATATCTATTTTTTTTTACAAATTTTATTGATTATACAACTAAAATATCAAACACATACACAACACACAGAAAAAAGGGAAAAAGGAAAAAAGAAAATGATTAAAAACTAGCAGTTCTATTATCGACAGTCTATGGTTCCTTGTTTGTTATCAATACTGGTGATATATTTACAAATACATCTTATTGCGAATATATAATTACTACCTCTTTTACATTTTACGTTGTTTACTAATATATTTTCTATTTTTGTTCTATCCAGTCATACCAGCATTCCCAGCTTCTATAATATTCTGATGTTTCTTTTTCCTTAAGTGCTAAGATTAATTTATCCATCTCTGCACAGGCTGTTATCTTCTGAATGACCATTTACTCTGTTGTAATATCTGCCTGTTTCCAACACTGTGCAAAGGTTATTCTGGCTGCAGTAAGAATGTGCAATATTATATATTTGACTTTTTTAGAAATTTGTCTATTAAATATCCCCAATAAGAAGAATTCTGGTTTTAATTCAATTTGCTCAGCTGTTATTTCCTCTAACCTTTTTTTTATTCTATGCCAGCATCTTTGGGCTTCAGTGCAGGACCACCACATGTGAAAGAATGTTCCACAACACATATCTATTGTATCTTATCTATATTTGTTTCTGTCTTATATAGGTTATATAAATTATATTCTATTTGTCTATCATATTACTCTCTTAAGGCCTCTTGAATTGGTTATATTACTCTAATCTTCCTTTTTATATCTATACTCCAACCATTCATACCATATCGCATAATATTTTTTTAACTATTTTAAATAATTAAATCAAATTGTTGAATTGTCACCCAGCAAGTTGGCCATGGTGAGTTAGTTGCAGTGAGTTGCCCCATTCCGGAGAAGGGAGTACAAAGAGATATGTGAACTGTCTCCAAGTATCTGAAGGGCTGTAATCAGTGGTGGTATACTCTCGGTTCGGACCGGTTGGGCCAAACCGGTAGTTTTAAAAAAGCGTCCTACGATCAGTTGAGAAGAAGAAGAAAAAAGCCTCATCGGCTGAGAGGAAAAAGGAGAGAAAAACGTGAAAAATGGTCATGTTGCTTTTTTCAGTGCCACCGTAACTTCAAATGGTCACTAAAGGAACTATTGTTCAAATCGAGGATTCCCTTTAATTAGATATGTAGCTGTTGAGAAGAATATCGGAAGCCATTTACTTATATCTTTCTCTTATCTTCTAGTTTCGTCTATCATTTTTCCTTTTAGTTTTTCTTTTATTTCTCTCTTTTTGTTTTCTCTGTTCTATTGTAGTTTAGATAGATAGATATAGATAGATAAATAGATAGATAGATAGATAGATAGATAGATAGATAGATAGATAGATAGATAGATAGTAGGTAGGTAGGTAGATATAGATAGATATAGAAAGAAAGAGATATAGAATGAAAGATAGATGTAGAAAGATAGATAGATATAGAAAGATAGATAGATGATAGATAGATAGATAGATAGATAGATAGATAGATAGATAGATAGATAGATAGATAGTCAGGCAGACAGACAGACAGACAGACAGACAGACAGACAGACAGGTGAATAGAATAGAATAGAATAGAATAGAATAGAATAGAATAGAATAGAATAGAATAGAATAGAATAGAATAGAATTCTTTATTGGCCAAGTGTGATTGGACACACAAGGAATTTGTCTTTGGTGCATGTCCTCTCAGTGTACATAAAAGAAAAGATACATTCATCAAGAGTCAAGAATCATAAGGTACAACACTTAATGATAGTCATAGGGTACAATAAGCAATCAAATCATTCCAGGAAACAGTCAATAATGATCCAAGTGACAAAGTTACAGTCATACAGTGACAAGTGGTGGGGGTGATAAGGAGGGACGAGAAGATTAACAGTAATAGTAGTTCAGACTTTGTAAATAGTTGGACAGTGTTGAGGGAATTATTTGTTTAGCAGAGTGATAGCTTTCGGGGGAAAACTGTCCTTGTGTCTAGTTGTTCTGGTGTGCAGTGCTCTATAGCATAGAGATAGATAGATAGATAGATAGATAGATAGATAGATAGATAGATAGATAGATAGATAGGTTGGTAGGTAGAGATAGAAATAAGAATACACACTTTTATATAAAGCAATAGCTAGATGGAATGATTAGAGGTCGAAAGATAGCATTATTACGTATGTTTAAATTGACACTAGAATGGCATATTGAAATATTGAATAACTAAAAAATGAAGGACTATATGTTAATATAAACATGTGTATTAACACCAGGGGTGGGATTCTACCAGTTCTATCCACCTCTGTAGAACCCGTAGCTCTGAAGAGCAGCAGACATAGAACTGGTTCTATGTCTGCTGCTGTTTTGGCCCACCCGCCCGCCTGGGCTCTTACCTGACCTTTATTTCCTGCTTTTTCAAACTCAGCTGCTTTGCGCGGCACAGCTGCGGTTGAAAGATCAGGAAAAAAGTGCTTTTCCAACCACTGCGCACCCGCACACATCACTGCTCAGATGTCCGGGCAGCTCAACAGGTGGTAAATTGCACTCCCATGACTCGCGCGACTCGTGCAACTTGCACATGCGCGCACGACACACAGCAACAGAACCAGTAGTTATACCGGTCAGATCCCAACCCTGATTAACACTATGATTAACACTACGATTAACACTACAATTAGTAATGGTGGCCTGATTAGAAGCTAGAATAAAGGTAGAAATAAGGGGAATATTAGCGTACATATTTTTATATAATAGAATAAAAGTGATAACTAGATGGAAAAAGTAGAGGTTAAAATATGGTATTACTATGTATGCTCAAATAATATTGTGATTGGCATTAAAATGGAACCTTGAAATATTGAATAACTACTTTAAAACAAACACATATATTAATACTAGGATTACATAAGTTTGACTAATGTAACAAATAATATTATTGTTATTTGTATCAGTGATACCCAGATGCCACACTGCTCATGTATTGATGTTGATGTATATTTAAAAATGAATATCACTCCCCAAAAGAAGCCATTTCCTTATATCTTTCTCTTATTTTCTAGTTTCGTCTACGTTTTTTTCTTTCAGTTTTTCTTTTATTTCTCTCTTTTCGTTTTCTCTGTTGTATTATTAGAGAGAGAGAGAGAGAGAGAGATGAGAGATACAGAGAGACGAGAGAGAGAGAGAGAGGAGAGAGGAGAGAGAAAGAGAGAGATGAGAGAGATACAGAGAGATGAGAGAGAGATGAGAGATACAGAGAGACGAGAGAGAGAGAGAGACGAGAGAGAAAGAGAGAGATGAGAGAGATGAGATACAGAGAGACGAGAGAGAGAGAGAGATGAGAGAGAAAGAGAGATACAGAGAGGCGAGAGAGAGAGAGAGAGGAGAGAGAGGAGAGAGAAAGAGAGAGAGGAGAGAGATACAGAGAGATGAGAGAGAGAGAGATGAGAGATACAGAGAGACGAGAGAGAGAGAGAGAGAAAGAAAGAGATGAGAGAGAGAGAGATGAGAG